GATGGTAGTGATGCCGGGGTGCTCGGATAACGTGGTGGCGGCGATGACGGTGGTGGTGGCGGTGGTGGCGATGGTGATAACGGTGATGATGATGGTGATGGTGGTGATGGTGTGGTGATGGCGATGACGGTGACTGTGTTGGTGGTGATGATGCTGATTTGATGTTGGTGGTCAGTTCAGTGGCAGCTGTGAGGGTGGGGATGCGGTGACAGTTAAGGTGATGCTGGTGGTGGGCTCAGCTCTCGGGAACTTCAGGTCCCTCCTCGTGGGAACCCAATGGCCCTATGGCACTGCTGACGAGGGCAAAGGGCACAGGTAGGGTCCCTGGTCTGAGCCTCTGGGCTGGGGAGTCGGAAGGTGGAGGGGTGTTGGCAGGACTCCCGCCCTCCCAAGCCCATTCCTCCCCGTGGGCTGGGCAGCCCAGGGCCCCTCCCTCTCCAGCAGCCCACCTCCCTGGCAGGCTCCTGGGGCCTCTGTGGCCCTGCCCAGCCGGTGGTTGAGGCGGAGAGGAGCGGGGCCCTGGGGAGGGCCCAGTTTCCAGCCCAGCGGGGGGCGGGCCTGAGGCTGGCAGCCCTGACTCAGAGTGGAGGCGCCAGGGGCCAGGAGCGAGGAGAATGGCATCTCGGATTGCGGGACACGAGAAGCCCTGGGGGCCCTGGTGGCGGATGCAGGGACGCTGAGCTAGGCCCAGACACTGCTGACTGCAGGGGGCGCGGGCCTGGGGCAGGGTCTCACCGAGGAGCAGAGGGATTGGGGGGCATGGGCCTGGGGCAGGGTCTCACCGAGGAGTGGAGGGATTGGGGGGCATGGGCCTGGGGCAGGGTCTCACCAAGGAGCGGAGGGATTGGGGGGCATGGGCCTGGGGCAGGGTCTCACCGAGGAGTGGAGGGATTGGGGGGCGTGGGCGTGGATGTTGGCATAGGGAGCACAGTGGAGGGGTTGGTGGGCACAGGCACGGACGTTAGCATAGGGAGCACAGCGGAGGGATTGGGGGGCATGGGCCTGGGGCAGGGTGTCACCAAGGAGCGGAGGGATTGGGGGGCATGGGCCTGGGGCAGGGTCTCACCAAGGAGCGGAGGGATTGGGGGGCATGGGCCTGGGGCAGGGTCTCACCAAGGAGCGGAGGGATTGGGGGGCATGGGCCTGGGGCAGGGTCTCACTGAGGGGTGGAGGGATTGGGGGGCGCGGGCGTGGATGTTGGCGTAGGGAGCGCAGTGGAGGGGTTGGTGGGCACAGGCACGGACGTTAGCATAGGGAGCACAGTGGAGGGATTGGGGGGCGCAGGCCCAGACGTTGGCATAGGGAGCACAGTGGAGGGATTGGGGGGCGCAGGCCCGGACGTTGGCGTAGGGACCGCAGTGGAGGCGACCCCTGAAGATCATGCAGGCCGGGCCGAGGCGATGGAGGCTCCCAGCAGCCCCCGCCTGCACCTGTGGAGACAGCTGCCCACTCCCTGTTCTCCCCTGCGGCGTGCTGTGCCCACTCAGCTTCTACCATGTGGGAGGACACCTATGAGTCACTCACACTCCAGTGTGAATTAGCCCATCAAACCCCAGGGGACCCTGACAGCCTCGCCCCATCATAGCAGCTGCTTCCTGGGCAGGAGGGAGGCATCTGAGCGCAGGGAAGGCCCGGCCTGGCGGGGGTGGGGGGTGGCAGGGGCTCTTGACGGGCCTCTGGGTTACTGTCCTGATGTCCCTGACGCCCGCCCAGGGAGGACCTGCAGACCGGAGCAGAGCCTCACTGAGGGAGGGCCAGGCAGGGGGCATGGGGACCAGGCGGGGGTGGGGGACTCTGCAGAGGAGGAGGCTGAGGGTCAGGGACAGGCCTCGCTGCAGGAGCCAGGAGCTGGCCATGCCTATGGCCGCGGATGGAGCCAGCCAGGCCCAGCAGGTCAGCTGGTCTGATGGGGGAGGCAGGGCCCTGCCCTTCTGGTCCTGGAGGTGCTGCTGCCCCAGCTCTGTCTGGACCAGCGAGGGAGGCGCAGGTGTCGCTGACCCAGATTCCTCGGGCCTGAGCTGGGGGAGGGGGCTGGCTCCGTGACCCAGATAGTCCAAGTTTGTGACGCTCAGACAAGAGGTGGCCACGGTCTCCCCCGTGGGGAGTGGTCGCCGTGGGCAGGTGGAGGGGACTCTGCCTGTCTTAGCTGTCCCTGCAGTGGGAAGGAGTGTGGTCAGACATGGGGAAGGACTTCCCGGTGCTGTGGGAGGAGACGGCCCTGGGCAGTGGCCCCCAGGAAAGCGCCGCTGACTGAGTGCTTGTCCGGCCTGGGAGGGGGCCTCGGGGTCCCTCTCACACCTGTTCCTCAGCCCAGTGGGCTGGGCCTGGGGGGGCCGGTCAGAGAAAGCTGGGAGCTGGCCCTCCTGCGGTCCTGCTGTGTGACCTTGGGCAGGAGGGCCACCTCTCTGGGCCTCAGGGTCTTTATTCGGAGAGTAATGATATGAGGCACAGGGGTGTGGACAGGGTCCCCGTGTCGGGAGCGAGCAAGCCGTGCTGCAGGCCCCGAGTCCCGGCAGCATCCTGAGGGGCCAGCGCTGCTCCCTCCCGCCAGGCCTGGCGCGTCCCCATGGGCTCCGTGGGCTCCGTGGCCGGGGCTGCAGGACCCTCAGCAGAGTGGGCGCCGCCCTCACTCCATGGCCCCGGAGGCTGAGAAGCTCATCGACTGGCGTTCCCCCAGGAGGTGGCGGGCAGCTGTCTGCCTGGCGCCCTGCAGCCCCGCCAACACCGGCTGGGAACCTGCCAGGCTGCTGGTCCCCGCCAGCCTGCTCCCCGCACCCCAGGCCTCGGGGTGCGTCCCCTCCCGCCCTCCCAGCGGCCCTCAGGCAGCGGAGGCGGGGGTGTGCTTCCTCCCCCACCTGGAGGAGGAGGGCGGAGGCCGAGTCAGGGGCTGGGTGGCACGGGGAGCAGAGCGGGATTTGAATCCGGGACTGGCTGGCCACAGAGGACGGCCCGTAAGAGTCACACGGCAGTGCGGCCGGTAGGCTGGGCGGCGGGAGAGGGCGGTGCGGTCCCCAGACGGGAACGGGCACGGGAGGACTCCCTCCGGAACGCTGTGCCCTGCTGTCTCCTGAGCCCACTGGGTGACACCACCCGTCAGGCAGGGAGAGGGTGGCGTGGGGTCAGGGGTCAGGGGTCAGCCAGCGCTCAGTGCTTCTGCCCTTGTGGTCCTGGGGGTGGAGAGGCCGGTGAGGCTCTGACCAGCCTCGGCCAAGGGTGCGGGGACCGGCTGGGCCTGGGGGTCACTGGGAGGCTCCCCGGGACCCCACAGCCCTTTCTGTCCTGCCATCGCCCAGGTCTCCTTTCTGGCTCTATGCTTTCCCTGAAGGAGGGAGGAGGGAGGGGAGAAGGGGGAGGGATGGAGGGAAAGGGGAGGGAGGGGGAAGGGGTCTGCTGGGGCCTTCGTAGGCTCTGCCGTGGCTCCCTCTGTGCTGGGCCCCGCAGGTGGCAGGCCGGCAGCTGGCCACTCAGGCTCTGCCGGGCTGTGGCCGCACACGGGGGCCAGCAGGGGTGCAGGTGGCCGGGGGCTGGGAGGCTGAGGCAGAGGGGCCGGGGCCAGAGGAGGAAGGCAGGCCGGCTCTGCATTCTGTGACAGAGGCCCCTGGAACGGAGAGCTTCCAGCCCCCGCACCCTGCCCTATGGACCCAAAGAACAGTGCCCATGAGAGGGGCGCCCCTCCCTGCACCTCAGAGATGAGCGGGCAGGTGGGGGGGCAGGGGAGGCTGCCGGGTCACAGAGCCCTGGCAGCTCCTGGGCCTGGAGGCAGCTCTGCTCTGCTGTCGCCTTGGGCGCCTCTCACCCCCTCAGGCCTCAGTTTTCTTTCTGTGAAATGGGGCAGGGCCTCCCCTGCGGGGAGAATGTAGGGATGGAGCAGAGGGGAGGGTGTCTGGCCTGACCCGCGTGTCCCTCCGCCCCTGGCGCTCACACCCCAGCATCTGGGAAGACGCACCGGCACAGCCAGCCCTGCTGGCGCCGAGCTTGGGATCTGTCTGCTCCCCGCTTTAGAGATGGGGGAACGGAAGCTGGGAGGGAGGGGTAGGCAAGTTCCTGAGGTGACAGCCGGAGGTGGGAGGCTTGCCAACCAGGTGGTAGCAGGTGTCACTGTGCCGGCTGGCGAGGGCAGGGCCGAGGGGCGGGCCAGGCGCCTCCGGGGTCACCAGGCAGACAGCGGCTGAGCACCAGCCCCTCCCCGAGCGTTTCCGTCTCAGTCGTGTCTCTCTGGGCAGCCTGGAGCCCCCCACGGCCGCAGGCACGGAGCCCTGGGGTGCCCACCCCCCATGGGCACCTCCGCAGGCCAGGCCCAGCCGAGGCCTGGACACTCCCAAGCCCCTGCCTGTGCAGACGGCCTGGAACGTGGGGGTTGGCTCTACAGGGAGGGTGTGCCCGCAGGTCAGGGCGCACTGAGACCCTAAGAGCCCGAGTGTGTCCGCGGAGACAGCCATCCCCGGCCTGCGACAGGGTGGGGGGGGGGTCTGGCCAGCCCCGGGCGCGTGCTGTCCGCTCCCCTCTGGGAGGGAAGACTGTGCCCAGGGCGCCTACAAGAGGCACCAGGGGCGCCCAGGCCTGGGTGGGGGGGGCTGGGGGAGGGGGGAGGGGGGAGGGGCGGGGGAGGGGGAGGGGACGGTCCCAAGGTCACGAGAGCGATTGCCCGGGCAGGGGCGGCAGGAGTGGCCCCTCCCCACGCCAGGGCCCGGCGCCCACCCCGCCCTCGGGCGCCCCGCACCCGCCCCCGCCTCGCTGGCCGCCCCCTCGGCTCCGGCTCCGGCTCCGGCGCTGGGGCGGCGCGGCGGGCGGGGCGCTGTCGGCTCGGCCCGCGCTCCCGATAGTCGCTCTCCCGTGGCTCCGCGGCGGCGGCGGCGGCCATGGGGCGCGGGGCTCCGGGGGCCGGCGGGGCGGGCGCCTGGCCGGGGGCGCAGGGGGCGCAGGGGCAGGTGCGCGGCGGGCCGGGCGGGGGGCGGGGGGCCGCGGGCGCGGCGCCGCTCACGCTGCCCTGTCTCCCCCAGATCCTCCCCCGCCCCCCCGCAGCTCGGGCCCTGGTCGTGGCGCGGCTGCCGCACGGTGCCCCTCGACGCCCTCCGGACGCGCTGCCTGTGTGACCGGCTCTCCACCTTCGCCATCTTAGCGCAGCTGAGCGCCGACGCGGTGAGACCCCGGGCGGGCGGGGCGCGGGCCGGGAGCGCGGGGGCGGGGCCGGCGGCGGCGGGGAGGGGTCGGGGCGCCCGGCAGCCCCCCCCACCCGGGGCCTGGCTGCGGGGGCCGGGCCGCCCCCGGGGAGGGTGCGTGGGGGCGGAGCAGGCTCGGTGTGGAGTCGGGCACTGCCGGCGGGCGCAGCGGGGCTGGGGTCCCAGGAGTGACTGCGGGGTGAGTCCCCCCTCCCCGTGGGTCCTGGCCCCTGGGGGTGGGGGGGGTCAGTCCCCGAAGGAGCCAGGCTGGGCCCCAGGCTGTCCGGCGCGGGAAGGGCAGGGCCGGGCCGGGCGGGGCTGTGCAGACCCCTTCCCTTGGGGTCCCCACCAGCAGGTGGCGGGTTCCCACCTTGCGGGGAAGCTGGGTGCCTGCGCCTTTCCTGAGCCCTTCCCCGAGCACCCCCGCGGGACCACGGTCTGTGGAGGCGGCCGTGCGGGTGGGGGTCCTGGAGCCTGGGTGCTGTGCTGGCCCGGCCCACAGCCTCCCCGGGAAGGCCCCTCGTCCCAGGGGCCTCTTTCTTGTTCTGAGATTCTTGTGGGGGCTGCCAGTTTCTATGGTGACGGCAGCTGGGGCAGCTTGCTGGCTGGGGCCCTGGGTGCGGAGTCCAGCCACTGGGGCTGCAGGGCCCTGGGCGGCCCAGGCTGCGCTCATGGTCCCAGGAAGGCCCAGCCCAGCTCGGGGCCTCGCTCCCGGAGCCCCTGGCCCGGGCCTGGTGCGGGCGGCAGATATGAACAGACTGGGGGGGCGGGAAGGGGGGGCTTTCCTGGGTACTGGGCCCTCATCGCCGGGCGGAGCAGCTCTCCCCGCGTGGACCCCGGTTCCATGGGAGGCGGCTCTGGCCTCTCTGGGAATGTCCACCCACCCCTCCCCTGTGGGACACGGTGGGGAAGGCGAAGGGCCCTCCACGGGGTCAGCGCTGGGCGGGACCTTAGAGGTCACTGCCACGAACCCCTGTGGATAGGCAGGGACACCGAGGTCTGGGAAGGGCTCCTCGCCCAGGGTCTCGGCGAGTCTGATGGACGGAGGTCTGTGGTCTTGGCCCTGATCCAGGGGCGCCCGCCCCATCAGGCCGCTCCTAAGAGGCTGTCCCCGCTGGTCTTTCTGGTTCTTCTGGGGGCATGGCAGTGGAGGCAGCAGTAAGAGCCATCCTGGGGGGCTTCCTGGAGGAGGTGGCTTTCTGGATACATGGTCATCAATGCCAGCAGCAGGCTGCACTGCACGGGGAGCAACCAATGGGACCGGGCTTCCTGAGTCCCCTAAGGGGCCAGAGCGAGCAGGGCAGGGCCCAGCCCCGTCCCAGGGGTGAGGAAGGCCCAGGGCAGGGGGCCTTTGCAGTGGGATGCGGCCCTGTGTCCCCTCCTCCAGCCCAGCGCCGGCCTAGAGGACACTGTTGGTCGAATCTTGAAGCACAGGCTGCTCCCTTGCGCACGGGGACCCTGGCCGGGCCTCAGTCCCTCTCAGCCTCAGTTTCCCCCTGTAGAGGGAGGTGGTCCTGGCCACTGAGGGTGGCGGCCGGTGGGAGCCCCTGAAGCGGGGCCCTTCCCAGGCGGGCGCTGAGCTCGGCGGCCTGGCGTGGAGCACGGGCTCCGTGAGGGTGGCGCACGGGTGTGGGTGGTTGTGCGCGGTGAGGGGGCTTGACGCCCAGGGGGCCTTTCTAGGAAAAGCCAACCCGTGCCTGGTGCCTGCAGGTTCCCCAGGCCCCACCGTGCAGGAGAGGGCCAGCGGGTGCAGGGCCTGCTGGGGGAGTCCCCTGGGGGGGTGGTGTCAGCCTCACCCCCATGTTGGCGTACACTAGGGGGGACGGCCGATGGGCCAGGCACCCCATCCCCAAATTCCAGAGGAGACAGCTGAGGCCGAAGGCACAGGAGCCCCGGCAGCCACAGAGCCACCCACTGGCCGTGGCACTGAGCGCGAGCTGCCGGCTCAGCCTGTGTCCTCCTCTGTCAGATGGGCTCCGGGCCCTGCCTGGGTCTGTGAGCCTCGAGGGCATGGGGTGAGCTGGGAGCAAGCGTGCCGGAAGGACCAGGGGGGCCTGTCTCGCCGCCTCCCTCTAGTGCTCCAGCTCTCGCTCAGTGAGAGGTGACCCAGAGGTGCCGGGGGAGGGACCAGGAGCCAGGGGGAGACGCTCAGTGAGAGGTGACCCAGAGGTGCCGGGGGAGGGACCAGGAGCCAGGGGGAGACGCTCAGTGAGAGGTGACCCAGAGGTGCCGGGGGAGGGACCAGGAGCCAGGGGGAGACGCTCAGTGAGAGGTGACCCAGAGGTGCCGGGGGAGGGACCAGGAGCCAGGGGGAGACGCTCGGTGAGAGGTGACCCAGAGGTGCCGGGGGAGGGACCAGGAGCCAGGGGGAGACGCTCAGTGAGAGGTGACCCAGAGGTGCCGGGGAGGGACCAGGAGCCAGGGGAGGCGCTGTCGTGCACCCGCCGCCCCGTGCGGACCCCTCTGAGTGCCTGCGGTTGGGCCAGACCCCAGTCCTGCTGCCGGGGGTGCGAGCTCTGAGGAGGAGACTGACGGCTCACAGGGGCCTGGGGCAGCCCTGGCGGGGGGGGCGGGGGGGGTGTGCTCCCAGATCAGCTGACCCTCTTGGGGGCAGTTTGAGAGATGGGAGGAGGAGGAGGTTGGAAGTGGGGCCCTGAGGGGTGAGCAGGAGGGTGAGAAAGGCGAGAAGCAAGTGGGAGACGGGGTGGGGTCGGAGGCAGGACAGGGGGCTGGCTGGGGTCCAGAGAAGCTGGACCTGCACCCCGGCAGTGGGAAGCTGGGTGGCTGGGAGATGAGAGAGGATGGGGTGGGATTGGGGTCCTGGAGGGACCCCAGTAGGAGTGAGGGCAGAGTAGCCCACAGCAGGTGGGCTGCTGACAGAGGGGAGCTGGGCCCGGTGCGTGGAGGGGTGGGTGCTGCGGGCCTTCGCCGCAGGTTGGGGTGGGAGTCGGGTCTGAGCGGCAGAGGCTGCGGCACCCGGCATGTGGTGGGCTGGGGTCTGCAGTCCCAGGCCAGACCCGAAGCTGACGGGGAGCAGGTGCTGTGCGCGCCCGGGAGCCAGCGAGGTCCGAGATCTCTGGCGGGGCCTGGAGGGACGGAGACAGGACGGAGGAGCCAGGGCGTCAGGTCCCGGCTGGGTCGCTGCCAGCTGCGCTGAGTCACAGCGGTGAGGGGGCCGGTGCACCTCCTCCAGCCGCGGTGGGGGGTGAACGAGGTAATAAACAGCCTGTGAGCACAGCTGGTGCTGGTGGTGCTTCTGTGCCTGACACCGTGTTACCAGTCCCCACAGGCTCGCAGTGCAGTGTGACCAGGGCCAGGGCTCAGAGTGTGACCAGGGTCAGGGCTCAGGGTGTGACCAGGATCAGGGCTCAGAGTGTGACCAGGGTCAGGGCTCAGCCTGTGACCAGGGTCAGGGCTCAGAGTGTGACCAGGATCAGGGCTCAGGGTGTGACCAGGGTCACGGCTCAGCCTGTGACCAGGGTAAGGGCTCAGCCTGTGACCAGGATCAGGGCTCAGGGCTCAGCCTGCGTGTGGCCAGGGCTTGTCTGAGTGGGTAGCTGGGAGCGGTGGGTGGTGCTGGAGCAGCGACAGGCGGGGACGGTCACACCTGCTGTTGGAAGGAAGCCAGAGCAGGAGGTGCAAGCCTTTGGGGAACAGAGTGGGAGTTCGTGGGGCAGAACTGACATCCGAACAGCCACGGGGGTCCTGGGCTGTGGGGACCCTGGAGGCTCAGTGCGAGGTGCTCAGTCACCTGGGAGGCGGTGGCAGCTCAGCTGAGCAGCCGGCTGTAAGGCCAGGGGAGAGCACAGGGCAGAGGGCCCAGCACGCAGAAGCCTGGGGCGGCACCGCGTGCCCTGCTCGCCGTCCCCAGTGCAGCTCTCCCGAGGCCGGGGCCTCCTGAGGCCCTGCCCACTGCTGTCCCCTGTGCCCTCTGCGTGGACCTGCGGGGCAGGGCTGTCCGGAGAGGCGAGTGAGCCAGGAGGAGAGGGGGCGGCGGCCAGTGGGCGGGCTGCTGGGGTGTGGCCGCCAGGCCCAGTGAGGACAGGTGGACGCAGATGGCCGCGGGGGTTGGAGCGGGAGCCAGCCACGTGCAGGCGCACGCCACTTGCTGGGCCACCCGTGACCCGTGTGCGGGCCGAGGGCCAGCTCGGTGCCCTAGAAACGTTTGCTGGGTCACGGTGCCCCCTACAGTCCCCATCCCGCTGGCCTCCCAGTCGTGGGCCTCGGGGTGTCCGTGGGTAGATTATGGGGTAATGGGGCCCCACTGTGGGTCTGAGCTCTGTCGGGGATGGTGGCACAGAGTGCGGGCGGTTTGGGGTGGCCGAGGTGGCGAGGCTCTGTGCTCCCTGGGGTACTCGGGGGCCTGCTTGGAGGAGGCGTCCTGGCTGGGCCTGGTGGGCGGGCAGTGCTGCCCGCAGGGGTTCCCCCGAGGACAGTGGGAGCAGACGTGCCCGGCGCGCACAAGGCCCCGGGCCGGTCGGCATGTCATGGTGTGTGTGCTGGGCGTGTGGGTCTGCAGCCCCCGATGGGCGACCACCTTGACCTGGAAAAGGAGGGGGAGAAGGGGAGCTCCCAGCAGGGGCTCCGGTCCCCCTCCACACTGGCGGGAGCTTGGTCGGCACAGCTACGCCCATCAGGGTGGCCAGGCCTGAGGTCCCCAACGGGCTGGGAGCAGCCGAGAGGCCTGCAGGCAGCCAGACCCCAGGGAGGGTCAGAGGCCAGGGGCGTCGTGGGCCTGGGGGGGGGGGGGGGCAGCTGACCTGAGTGCCTTGGGAGCCCAGCCCGCCCGCCCGCCCTCGGCATCCTCTCCCTGCCCAGGAGGTGGCCGCTCAGCTCGGACAGGCAGTGGAGCCTCAGAGAGTGGGGCTCAGAGAAAGTTCCGGGCCTGAGAGGCCGAGCAGGGCGCTGGCCGTGGTCCTGAGCCCCTTCCCTGGCAGCCAGCGACCAGCGTGCAAACTGATGTACGTGCTGGAGCTGCACCCCAGGCCCTGTCCCCAGGGCAGAAAGGTGTCGGCTCCAGGGTGGGGACCCTTAAAAGCCCCCCACTTCCGGCCCTGCGGTGCCCACCAACTTCCCCAGAGCCGGAGGCAGCAGCCGGGAGGGGCCGCAGAGCCAGCCTCAGTGCCCGGCTCTGGGTTCCGGTCCCCTCGGGCCTCACGCCGGCCGGCGGTGTCTGCGGGCCCTGGGCGCTGCGGGTCGTGCGGTCACACGGGCGAGCGCACGGGGCCCACACGCGGGCCGGGTGGGAAGGAGGAGGCAAGCCCGGCCCGGGGCCTCGCAGAGCCGGGGGGCAGGTGCTCCCACATCGCCTGGGACCCGGGCGGGGCGGGGCGGGGCGGGCACAGGAGGGGCCTCTGGTGGCCTTTTATAAAGTCCTCAGCTGCTGCTCGGAGGAGAGCTCGAGGGGCCCAGCTGCACGCCGCCCAGCCCCTCACGCTCTTCTCTCCCCAAACCCCCAGAACATGGAGAAGGTGGTGGTGCCGTCGGTGACACTCATCGTGGGCTGCGGCGTGTCCTCCCTGACCCTGCTCATGCTGATCATCATCTACGTCTCCGTGTGGAGGTGGTGTCCCCGGCGGGGGGGGGGGCCTGGGGAGGGGCAGCCGGGGTCACACCGCACCCCTTCAACCCCAGGGGCCTTCCGGCTCCTGCCTCACGCTGGCCCCTGGCAGGTGCCCTTAACCTCCGGGGCCCTCAGCCCCCTGGCCTGGCTGTCTGTCCTGCCACCGGACGTGCAAGACCATGGCCTTCCCAGAGCGTGGAGGGTCGCAGGCTGGGGACCCCCCTCAGCCCCCTCCCCCGGGCCCTGGTGCCGTCTGTAGGCTGGGCCCTGGGTGCGGGCGGTGTGGGGGACCATGCGCGTGCGGGTGCGGGTCCGAGCCAGGCCCAGGCGCCACGGATGTGCGTGAGGGTGTGAGTGCCAGTGGGTTCTGGGCACCGTGCGCCCCGTGGAGCAGAGCTTGGGCTGGAGCATGAAGTCAAGGTCACCTGCCTGCCCGCAGCCCCCACCCGGCCCGGCTCCACGGGCAGCGCAATGCCAGCCGCTGATGGAGCTGACATCGCGCCCCGAGGCCAGCAGGGAGCGGTCGATGTGGCCAGTGGGAGGGCGGCCTGTGCTGAGGCACCAGGAGGGTCAGCACCCAGGGCCCCTCCCCCGGCCCCGGGTCCCCTGTGGACAGGCTGTGCCCTGAACCCAGTCCTCCCCTGAGCCCCAGCCGGCCTGCCCTGCTGTCCCTCCAAGGAGGGCCATGACCTCCCGGGGTCACATGTCACACCAGGCACGGTGGGTGTGGCTCTGCAGTCCCACTCAGCCCCCACCTTCTTACCTCACAGTGAGGATGAGACGGGGGTGGGGCTCAGGGCATGGGTGCTGCTGGGAGCAGGCAGGCAGTGAGACCAAGAGTGCAGCTGTGCTCAGTGGCTCCCCAGGGCTCTCCTTGCACCTGGCTGTGCTGGAACTTGGTGTGCGGTGAAGTGGACGTGGTGGTGGTGGTGGTGGTGGTGGTGATGGTGGTGGTGGTGGTGGTGATGGTGGTGGTGGTGGTGGTGGTGGTGGTGTGGTGGTGGTGGTGTGGTGTGGTGGTGGTGGTGGTGGTGTGTTTTGTGGTGGTGGTGGTGGTGGTGGTGGTGGTGGTGGTGTGGTGGTGGTGGTGGTGGTGTGTTTGTGGTGGTGATGGTGGTGGTGGTGGTGGTGGTGGTGGTGGAGGTGGTGGTGATGGTGGTGGTGTGGTGGTGGTGGTGGTGGTGGTGGTGTGGTGGTGGTGGTGGTGGTGGTGGTGGAGGTGGTGGTGATGGTGGTGGTGGTGTGGTGGTGATGGTGGTGGTGGTGGTGGTGGTGGTGGTGGTGGTGGTGGTGGTGGTGGAGGTGGTGGTGATGGTGGTGGTGGTGTGGTGGTGGTGGTGGTGGTGGTGGTGGAGGTGGTGGTGATGGTGGTGGTGGTGTGGTGGTGATGGTGGTGGTGGTGGTGGTGTGGTGGTGGTGGTGGTGGTGGTGGTGTGTTGGTGTTGGTGGTGGTGATGGTGGTGGTGGTGGTGGAGGTGGTGGTGTGTTGGTGGTGGTGGTGGTGTTTGCTGGGAGGAAGTGTTACCTGGGGAGAAGTGACCCACGGTCTTGGTGCAGCCATGGGACCCCAGCTCTTGTGAGGTGAAGCCCTGTGGGCGCTGATCACGCCTCCCACCTTCCCCAGGTACATCCGCTCAGAAAGATCCGTCATCCTCATCAACTTCTGCCTGTCCATCATCTCCTCCAACGCCCTCATCCTCATCGGGCAGACGCAGACCCGCAGCAGGGTAGGTGTTTGGCGCTGCCACCCCATTCCAGGGTCCCCAGATGGGGTAGGTGATGGGGTGGGGGGTGGGTGATGGGGTAGGCGATGGGGTGGGGGGTGGGTGATGGGGTAGGTGATGGGGTGGGGGGTGGGTGATGGGGTAGGCGATGGGGTGGGGGGTGGGTGATGGGGTAGGTGATGGGGTAGGCCAGTGGTCAGCAGACTGTAGCTCGAGAGCCACATGCAGCTCTTTGGCCCCCCAAGTGTGGCTCTTCCACAAAATACAACGTGCAGACGCGCACATACAGTGTGATTGAAACTTCATGGCCCATGTGCAGAAGTCGGTATTTTGTGGAAGAGCCACACTCAAGGGGCCAAAGAGCCGCATGTGGCTCGCGAGCCGCAGTTTGCCAACCACTGGGGTTGGCGATGGGATGGGTGATGGGGTAGGCAGTGGGGTGGCAGTGGGGTGGCGGTGGGCGATGGGAGCTGAGGGAGGAGGGGCTCAGAGCCACTGGAGTTCTTCTCACTGCTCCTCTGGCCACGGCCGCCGTATGGCTCGGGCCCAGGCGGGGGCAGGTGTCACCTGGCCAGGCGGGCATGGGGACGTGGTGTCCCGAGTCTCCAGCTGGACGGTGCTTTGTGATGAGCCAGCTCAGCCTGTCGCCAGCCCTCTGTGGGGCCCAGGCTCTGTCTGAGCTTGTCTGTGCCCTGTCTGGTGGCCCTGGCCTCGGGGTCACCACCGACGGAACAGATGGGCTTGGAACCGGGCCCTCGAGTGGGCCCCCGGCTGGCGTTTGATGCGTCTGCGCTGGGGGTGGGTGAGGAAGACGGGGTGGCAGGGTGTCTGTCCCTGGCAGTTCGTGGGCAGGTCGCGCCGGCACCCACAGCCCATCTCAGGGCCGTGGACCTGGCAACCCGTCGGTGACTTCCTGCCTGGGGTTTGACCTGGTCACCGACGCGGTCCCTGGGCCACTCACTGGGTGGGCGTGGGGCCCGGGACGAGCGCCTGCCCACCTCCCCGCCCGCCCGCCAGGTGGTGTGCACGCTGGTGGCCGCCTTCCTGCACTTCTTCTTCCTGTCGTCCTTCTGCTGGGTGCTCACCGAGGCCTGGCAGTCCTACATGGCCGTGACCGGCCGCCTCCGGAACCGCCTCATCCGCAAGCGCTTTCTCTGCCTGGGCTGGGGTGAGTGCCGCCAGCTCCCAGGTCCCGGCTCCGGGGCCTCCCTCCTCCCTCCCTCCGCCTCTCTCCCTCCTCCCTCCACCTCCCTTCCTCTTCCCTCCACTCTCCCTCCTCCCTCCACCCTCCCTCCGCCCCCCTCCCTCTGCCCCCCTCCCTCCGCCCTCCTCCCAGTGGCTGGGTAAGTTACTAACACCGAGTCCATCCTGACCTTTGGATTGTCAGTGACGCTTTAGAGCAGTGATGGGAACCTTCTGAGCTGGCGTGTCAGCATTTTGAAAAACCCTAACTTAGCTCTGGTGCCGTGTCACATATAGAAATTTTTTGATCTTTGCAACCATAGTAAAACAAAGACTTCTATTTTTGATATTTATTTTCTATATTTAAATGCCATTTAACAAAGAAAAATCAACCAGAAAAATGAGTTTGCGTGTCACCTCTGACACGCATGTCACAGGTTCGCCATCGCTGCTTCAGTGTAAGTACGTCCGGCCGCTGTTGGGGTACACTTACGCCAACCGCGTCTCCTCCCGAACCTGAAAGCCGGCGGGCCTGGCGTCCTGGGCTCTCCTTGCTCACCTGCAGCGCTGCCCCCCAGCTCTGCGGTCCTCTCCCCGTGCACCCCGCCCCCTCTCACGTCACATTCCCTGCCCCTCCCCGCCCTCCGCTGGCACAGCCTGGTCGGCGGGGCCCGACGCCCTCTTTCTGGTCCTTCCACAGGGCTCCCTGCGCTGGTCGTGGCCATTTCCGTGGGATTTACCAAGGCCAAAGGGTACAGCACCATGAACTAGTGAGTCGGGGCGGGCGGGCGGGGATGTGGGGCGCCCACAGGGCACCCAGGCCCTCCCACTGCCCTAGAAGGGCCTCCATCTCACAGACCAGGAAACCCAGGCCGGAACAGGGTGGGGGCCAGCGGCCTCCTCCCTCCCATCAGCCAGCTCCTCCCGGGCCGAGGGCAGTGGGATCGGAGAAGCCGTGCTGGGCTGTCAGGGCCTCCCGCCGCCTCCTTGGGCAGGTCCGTCCACCTCGCTGAGCCCCCGTCCCCATCCGTGGGCATCTGCCTGCCCCAGCGGGACTGCAGGGGCGCCCAGGGCAGGGCCGGCGTGGGGCCTGCTGCACAGAGGACATCAGGGAAGACCTGAAGGGTCCGCGGGGCGAGGGCCAGGGGCCTCGGAAGCCAAGCCCGGGGCTGAGGGGCGGCCCTGGAGGCAGGCGGCTGCCCAGGTCGGGGAGAGGACCCAAGGCCTCCACGCCTGCAGGGATGGGGAGGATGGGTGGCCAGAGGCGGGGGCGCCGCTGATACTGGCTGTGCAGGTCGGCTCACTGTGGGCCAGGGGACAGGATGTGGCCGACCCTGGAGCCGCACCCCGTCTGGGTAGTGGGGGGCAGAGGCCGTGCATGAGGAGCCGGTTCCTGCAGGCCCAGGGGGTGAGGCTGGGAGGAGGGAACCCCAGCCTGCGGGGTCAGAGGCGGGTCAGGAGAAGATGGGGGTGTCGAGTGGGGCTCTGAAGGAGGAAGAGGAGTTTGTTGGACAGATAGCCGGGGCGGAACGCTTGGGTTAGGCTCAGGAACACGTGAAGGACACGGCACCCCCGCTGGGCTCCAGGCCCCCGTGGGCCGCCGTGGGGGGCGTCCAGGAGATTCGGGGAGGCTTGGGGTTCACGTCAGAGTGAGGGGAGAGGAAGGGCCAGAGGCGTGAGCAGAGGGCCAGGCCCAGGACCAGCCCCGTGTTTGGGCATCGCGTCAGGAGGGAGGGTGCGCGTGTGAGACTGGGGAGGGTCCAGGAGGAGACGGGAGGGGACGGCTGAGGGAAGGGGCCGGTCAGGGCACCTGGGCCCCCGCCGCACCCCAGCTCTGGGCCTGCCCCTCCTCATAAAGTGGGGTGCCGCCGGGCCCCTCCCCGAGGCTCTGAAGCTGGAGAATGAGGTGAGGGCCCCGGACTTGGGGGCCTTTCGCCCGAGCTGATCCGTCGGCCCCTCACCTGCCCCCGGGAGCTGTGGTCCCCCCTGTGCTGGGGCGGGGCCCACGCCTGGCCCGTCAGCACCGTCTTCCTCCGCAGCTGCTGGCTCTCCCTGGAGGGGGGGCTGTTGTACGCCTTCGTGGGACCCGCTGCCGCTGTGGTGCTGGTAGGGGCTGCCCCGAGGCCCCGGGCTCGGCCCTCGGTCACTGGGGGGCGGGGGGTGTCCACGGTCCCCTGGCGCTGCCGGAGAGCGGGTTGCCTGATCCGTGGGGACCAGCTGCGCACCTGCCACGTGGGCGCGTGTTTGAGCGAGGGACGGGCTGGGTGGGGCAGTAGCCCGTGCCCATGGCACCCCCAGTCCCTCACCTGGAGAAGGTGGGAATCAACGGGAAGAAACCCTGAGGTGACCCAAGCCCCGGGGTCACCTGCCCTTCCGCATGTCCACCCGCACGTCCACCCGCATGACGGGCTCCCAGGTCGCGGCGGCGCCTGTCCGGTGGGAGGGCCGCGTGGGGGCTGGAGCTCCGGTGCCCAGCCCTGTGGGGGCAGGAGGACCCGGCTAGCGGCCGAAGGAGGCGGCGGGGTGAGGGGGCAGCCTTTGCCTCTCCCCGGGAGCCCCATCCCCTCACCGGCAGCAGGGGGAGAGGGGGGCACAGCGTGGGCAGAGCGTCGGCACCCACCGCCTCTGCCCGCAGGTGAACATGGCCATGGGCATCCTGGTGTTCAACAAGCTGGTGTCCAAGGACGGCATCACCGACAAGAAGCTGAAGGAGCGGGCAGGGTAGGACCCAGAGCTCGCCCCCCCCCCCAGCCCGCACAGCGGGGAAACCGAGGCACGGGCCGTGCGGGCGCACAGCGACCCTGCCTTGCTCGGCCGCAGTGTCTCCATCCGGCCCTGCCAGGTGGGGCCTCTAAGGGCCTCCCTCCGCCAGGCCCCGCCCGCCTCGGGGTTGGGTGCCTGTCCTGTGTGCCCTCAGCGTGGGTGGAAGGGACAGTGGTTGGACCCAGACGTCCTGCCTGGGGAAGGGGCCCAGAGAGGGCAGTGCCTGGCCTGAGGGCACACAGCACTGCAGGCGGCAGTCCTGAGCGGCTGGGCCGTCCCTGCTGGGGGAGTGCGCTGGGGAGGGTGCTGTCCCTCCAGGGACGGGAGCACCTGGTCACGGCCAGGCCGACAGTGCCCCTCCCTGCCCCGCCCCAGCCCTCTGAGCCCCCCACCTTCCCGTACCTGCTGCCTGTCCCAGCCTGGCTAGTGTCTGCGTTGGGGCCCCCGCCCCGCCCCGCCCCTCCCTTCGTGCCCGTCTTGCTTGTCCTGTCTGTGTGTCTTTCTCCTCTCTCTCTCCCTCATCCCACCCTCCTGCTCTCCCCAGGGAGCAGAAACTTCAGGAAGCCACCCACGGGGTCCCTGGAGGGTCTGGTCCTGGAGGAACCTGCCGTGGGGAGGCTGTGCCCGGGGCTGGGAGCCAGCCGGCCTCGGGTGTGTGGGCTGGGAAGTGGGGGTGGGCAGCCTGCTCAGGCCCCGGACAGCGTCCACAGCAGGAGGCCCAGGTGCACAGCGCCCCATGGTCACCCTGGAGGCAGGCCCTGCCGTGTCCCCACCTGACAGCCCAGCAGCCTGAGGCTCAGGCCAGGGGAGGTCAGGAGGCGGGAGTGGCTGCTCTGCCGCCTCAGCGAGGCCGCGGTGAGGCCCACAGGCCCAGCCTCCGCTGTTGGTCGCCTTGCCCGTCCTGGCCGAGGGCAGAGCCTGCAGCGGGGGAGGTCCTGCCCCTGGCCCCACGGCCAAGGCCCCACTGGTTTGGGGGCCCTTGTCCTGGCTGGACCCCAGGCCCCCAGCCTCTCTCCCCCAGGTCTGTGTCCACAGCTCCTTCCTGGTGGCTTTGCCCTCTGCCCCCTCTTCTGGTCCCCGGACTCCCCTGCTCTCCTTGTCCTGTGAGGGAGGGGGAGCAAGTGGTCTGGGTGCCAGGCCCACCCTAGTGATTGGACGGGAATCCCTGCAGGCAGTTGCCCCACCCATGGGGGCCGGGCTCACCCTGGCCGGGTCCTTAGGCTTCCATGGCCCTGAGGGGCACAGCAGTGACCAGGGGGGCCCGCTCCCTAAGCACCTGCCCGCTGCCTGCTGGCGCCCCTTCTGTCCCACCGTGTGAGCCGGGAGACTGGCTCAGAGTGGCCCCTGTGGCCTGTGCTGTGCGGGGAGGGGCCCGGGCTGCCAAGGGCAATGCCTGAGGGAGGTGCTCCTGGAGGACTCCCTGGAGGAGGAGGCGAGGGCTGAGGGGCAGCGGCAGCTCCTCCCCTGGGACGGGCAAGCAGGGCTCACCTGGAGGAGGATGCGCCTGTCAGTCTGTTCCTGTCTGTCTCTGCCCCTGTCCCCCACCTGCCCGGCCTCGTCTGTCCTGTCACCTCCCCTCCCAGGTTCTCTCCTCCCTCCCTCTGTCCAGAGCTCAGAGGCCTGACCAAGCGCCCCTCCCTGCGGCCATCTTGCAGTCCGGGCCTTTACCCCTGACGGGCCTGAGGGCTGTATGGGGCCCTGGGAGCTGGAACCAGCAGGGCCTCCTCCCCTGCCTGTGGCCTCCTGGGCGGCCAGGGACCCGGGTGTCCCAGAGAGCCCCCTCCCCGGGCACCGACCTCCTGGGTCCCCATCGCCCCGGGAGCCCTGGTTGCTGGCAGAACGCGGGGGACTGTCAGGGAGGGGCCTGTGCCGAGGGCGGAGGGCACAGGCCCCGGAGAGGACACAGCCTGGGCACAGCAGCCCGGCCCGCGGGAGAGACGGGGCGAGGCCGGGCCCGGCGGGGTCCCTCCGGCAGCAGCCCTGACGCCCCCGTCCGCAGGGCCTCGCTGTGGAGCTCGTGCGTGGTGCTGCCGCTGCTGGCGCTGACCTGGATGTCGGCTGTGCTCGCCGTCACCGACCGCCGCTCCGCCCTCTTCCAGATCCTCTTCGCCGTCTTCGACTCGCTGGAGGGCTTCGTCATCGTCATGGTGCACTGCATCCTGCGCAGAGAGGTGCGCGGGCCGGCGCCGAGCCCCCCCCCCCCCCGGGCCGTGCTGCTCGGGCGCGCACTGTGTGCGTGTGTGTGTGTGTGCATGTGTGTGCGTGCATGTCTGTGTGCATGTGTGTGTGCATGTGTGTGCATGTGTGAGTGTGCGCGAGTGTGTGTGCATGCGCGAGTGTGTGCATGTGTGTGCGTGCATGTCTGTGTGCATGTGTGCGTGCATGTGTGTGCATGTGTGAGTGTGCGTGTGTGTGCGCGTGTGTGTGCGTGTGTGAGTGTGTGCATGTGTGTGCGTGAATGTCTGTGTGCATGTGTGTGTATGGGTGTGTGCATGTGTGTGTGCGTGTGTGTGTGCGTGTGTGTGTGCGTGTGTGAGTGTGTGTGTGAGTGTGTATGCATGTGTATGCGTGTGTGTGCATGTGTGTGCGTGCATGTCTGTGTGCATGTGTGTGTATGGGTGTGTGTGTGTGCGTGTGTGTGTGCGTGTGTGTGTGTATGTGTGAGCAGCTTCCATGGCAGCCAAGACTCCTGTTCTGGGCCTCGCGGACCAGCCCCCTCGGGCACCGCCAGGGTCCAGTCCTCAGCAGCTGAGCTGCCGCTGACCTCTGACCTGTGCTCTCCGCCCCCAGGTCCAGGACGCTGTGAAGTGCCGCGTGGTGGACCGCCAGGAGGAGGGCAACGGGGACTCGGGGGGCTCCTTCCAGAATGGCCACGCCCAGCTCATGGTAGGGCCCGGAGCGGACGCAGGCCCCCAAGCCCCGCCAGGAGGCACTGGGAGCCCAGGGTGCAGTTGGGGAAACTGAGGCTCCCCAGGTCGGATCCCAGGTCCAGGGCTTGGGGTCAGGCAGGTCAAGTTGACAAGATCTGGGTGGAGCTGGTGTCCAGCCCGTGCCCACCCCATGGTACCAGCTTTGGTCAGACACCTCCTTCAGCTCCCGGCTTCTCCAGCTTCTCCCTTGGGTCCGGCCTGGCCCGTCCACTCACACCTCCTGCCGTGGCCCCGTCCCCAGCCAGATCCCCTTAGGACCTGACTCGGGTCCTGCACCCCAGGTACGCCCCCTGCACACCCCGCCCTCTCCACTGAGATGCCACCTCCTCCGGGGAGCCCTCCCTGACTGCCCCTCAGGTTGCCTGGTCCGGCCCCAGTGGTGCCCTTCGAGGTTGCTGCCCAGGGGGTGCCCCTGGCACACAGGGAGCCTGGCAGGCAGGAGGCACTCAGTTGGTCTTCCGGGGCCTGGCCACCTCACGGTGGCTGTTAGGGTCCCAGGCAGGGCCTCGGCAGAGCCCAAGGTGGAGGAGCTGGGGCTCTGGCCCCCGGTTCTGCTCCCGGGCTGACCTCTGACCTCAGGCCTGTGGTCTCCCCGCCGCCCCAGCCTCTGCATTTGCAGGGAAGGCGCCTCCAGGTTGGAGATCGAGGCCCGGCTGTGCCCTGGGCCCTGCTGCCCCTGGGAAGGCCCCGCACCAGCCTGGGATGGGGTGGGTGCTGCGTGCAGCAGGGACCAGGCCCCTGCTTGATGGGCAGCGGGGGCCTCCCTGGGACTGGACATCACGTGGCAGCCCTGCTGCGCCTCTCCCCGCTGCCGGCCTCCATCCCCTCGCCCCAGGGCTGTGGCAGGGACTGAAGGGGTGACGGGGCGGGGGACTGCCAGGTGGTGGCCTGGGCAGCAGGGGGCTCTGGTGTGGGCCCTGTGTGCCCATTGGAGAGGTGTGAGGGACAGCAAGGGGTTCCTGTACTGGAGGCCCAGGGAAGGGGGCAGGGGGACTGAGGCCAGAGGGGCAAGAACATGAGCTGTGGGGGACTGGCCCCCGACTTCCCAGCTGACCCACGGATGCCCTGGAGCTGAGAGCCTGCTCACATATGTATGCACACTATATGTACATATGTGTACACATACACGTGCATTGCTTACATGTATGTGAGTGCATGTGGGCTCAGTGTCTGCACATGCTCACCCATGCACACACAGGCGAGAGCATTCAAGGCATAGCCGCCCCCAGGAGTTCACTCCGTGTGACCACACCAGCACGTGGGCACCCCGAGTGTGTGGGCCCCCTTAGTACGACCCCCGAGTGTGTGGGCCCCCTTAGTACGACCCCCGAGTGTGTGGGCCCCCTTAGTACGACCCCCGAGTGTGTGGACCCCCTTAGTATGACCCCCAAGTGGACGTACACAGCCACGTGTGCACATGCCGCTCCAGGGCGGCCCTGGCCCACAGCCCGCAGGCCTCGCGGTGCCCAGGGCAGCAGCGGCCCCCGCCACGGCCTCACCAGCCCATCTCTGTCTTGCAGACCGACTTCGAGAAGGACGTGGATCTGGCCTGTAGATCAGGTGAGCGCCTGACAGGTGAGAGGACAGGTGGCCTCGCCGGGCCCACTTGCTTCTTTTTCTTTTCTTCGTCCATCTGTCCGTCCATCCGTCTGTCCTCATCCCACCCCTGCCTCCCGCAGCCCCTCCCCACGACTGAGGACCTGCTGCCCGGAGCCCTGGCCTGAGCAGGGGACACAGGCCTCGGGGTCCGGGCCCAGGGCAGACCTTGTTTGCACCAGCGCCTCACACCCCCAGCCCGCCCATGCCGAGGCAGCAGGCAGGGTCTGTGGGGCAGCGGAGGCCCAGTCCTCAGCACCCACAGCTCTGCAGGTCTTGGGCCTCCGCCTCCTCCTCGAGGGCAGTGAGGCTGGGCAAGCTCTGTGCCCGCCCACCTCCCCCTTCACCCCTGCCTGCCCTCCCTCCCACTCCTGCGTGTCCTTCATTTCCTCATTGTGAGTCCAGCTGTGGAGGGGGGTGGGGTGGGTTTTCACATGGGGGGGCATCAGTGGGAGCAGGAGGAAAGCAGGTAGGCCCCACCGCTGAGCCCTAGGCTGGCGCTGAGCTTCCTGGAAGCAAGGGCAAGAAGGGAATGAATTTCCCAATGAAAGGAAGCCCCCAAGAGTCCTTGTTCTGTGAACCGAGGGTCTGGGGCCCTGACAGGCAGTCTTTCCGGGGGGGCACCCTCCCTCTGCTCTGCCAGGGGTTTGAGGAGACAGCCCTGGAGAGCTGGGACAGCCCCGGGTGGGGTGCGCCAGCTGCTGCCAGGGAGACCCAGGAGGGCTTCCTGGAGGAGGTGATCTCTGCTTTGGGCTGAGCAGGAGCTGGAGCCGCCCCCCTCTTAGGCTCATGCTATCTAGCCAACTTCCCTGGGAGGTGACCTCAAGTCTTGGGGGGGGGGCCTGGCCCAGCCCTGTTTGGGTGGTACTGGCCCCTCTGTGCCTCCAGTCTCTTCCTAATTAGGGTTATGGCCCTGGGCCTCCTGAACGTGTGGCTGGGAGGTTGGGGACGGTTAGGAGGGTGTCGCAACACAAGCACTGAGTGTGCGGGAAGCCGGGACCGTGGGTGGAGTAGGCGCCCCAGCAAGGGCCTAGGCCCGGGGGGAGTTTGGGTTGTATGCTGATGGCATGGGAGGCGCGTAGCCTGGTCCACGGGGCTCAGCGCTCGCTGGGAGGTGGGCAGGAAGACCTCATGGGAGGGGGCAGCAGGTGGGGCCCTCTCTGGCCCTGGGGCACAGGTTTGTCCAGAAGATGGCGGCCCAGAGAGTGGAGGTCAGGGCTGCTGGTGAGGGGCTGGGTGGCATTTGGATTGTGGAACAGATGGGGCAGGGAGGGAGCCTGGGAAGCTCTGAGCCGTAGGGGCGAGTGGCCGGCGGGGCAGTTGGAGGCTGTGTGCTGGATAGCGGGATGGCGGCAGTGGCCGGTCGCTGGTCCGGGCTGGGCAGTGTGGCAGGGGCCAGCCGCCAGGCCACAAGGGGAGGCTGCGGTCAGAGCCGGCTTGCCGAGGGTGGGCCCTGAGAGGGGCCGCTTCGGGGTCTCCGGGGGCCGGCTGAGGCCGATTGACCCGTAGGACGGAGGTGGTGCGGGCATGCTGGCGCCCAGGTCAGAGGTCACAGCAGCCTGGCCCCCCTGCAGCTGGTCAGGAGGGGCTGTCCCACCCACACCCAGGAGCTGTGTCCCTGCACCTTGGGCAGCACGGGTCCCCCCAGGGCCATCGGAGGGGGTCGTCTGCCCTGTGCGGGCGGAAGGAGGGGCACCGGGCCCAGCCTGGTTGGAAAGTGCAAAGGGGACCCCGGCTGCCGCAGCACCGAGCTCAGGAGGGGGTGCGCCCAGGGGGCCCTGGCCAGGCCCCCTGACCCCGCCCTGCCCCTCAGTGCTGAACAAGGACATCGCGGCCTGCCGCACGGCCACCATCACCGGCACCCTCAAGCGGCCCTCGCTGCCCGAGGAGGAGAAGCTGAAGCTGGCCCACGCCAAGGTGCCGCCCCCCAACTTCAACAGCCTCCCGGCCAACGTGTCCAAGCTGCACGCGCACGGCTCGCCGCGCCGCCCGGGCCCGCTGCCCGACTTCCCCAACCACTCGCTGACCCTCAAGAAGGGCCGCGCGCCCAAGTCCTCCTTCGTGGGCGACGGGGACATCTTCAGGAAGCTGGACTCGGAGCTGAGCCGGGCCCAGGAGAAGGCCCTGGACACGAGCTACGTGATCCTGCCCACGGCCACGGCCACGCTGCGGCCCAAGCCCCCGGAGGAGCCCAAGTACAGCATCCACATCGACCAGATGCCGCAGACACGCCTCATCCACCTCAGCATGACGCCCGACGCCGGCCCGGCCCGCAGCCCGCCCTCCCGCCAGCCCCCCGAGGCGCCCCCCGCCCAGCCCCCGCCGCCCCCGCCCCCGCCGCCCCCGCCCCCACAGCAGCCTCTGCCCCCGCCGCCCACCCTGGAGCCGGCGCCCCCCAGCCTGGGGGAGCCCAGGGAGCCCGCCCCCCACCCGGGGCCCAGCACGGGCACCGGGACCAAGAAGGAGAACGTCTCCACCTTGTCCGTGAGCTCCCTGGAGGTGCGGGCCGCGGGGGGTGGGGAGTAGGCGAGGAGGGGAAAGGGGGCGTTGGGCCCCTGGAGGACGGAGAGGCGGCGGCCAGGGGCCTCGGGTTTGGCCGGGCAGCCAGTGTCCAGCTGGAGTTGTCCCCTTGGCCGACCTCGGACCGAGAGGCCTGGCTCTGCCTGCTGCCCTCCAGTGCCCACCCTGCCCGCTGGCCCTGGGGCCCCGGAGGGTGGCCTCGCCCATGGCAAGGGCTCGAGGACCCGCGGCTGCACTTGGACCTGCTCGGGTGGCGCCCTCTGTGGTCGGGTGGTCACTGCGAGTCCCTCTGAGACCCTCCAAGCCGGGGCTGGGGGTCTGCACCCAAGGGCTGCCTGGGTGAGGGGTCCCTGCGGCCGTCCTCAGGCAAGGAGGGGCCAGGACGTGGATGGGGAGGTCTTGGGGTGCTGGTTACAAAGGCCCACAACCCTTCCCCCCACAGAGGCGGAAGTCGCGGTATGCGGAGCTGGACTTTGAGGTGGGTCCCGTGTCCCCGCCCCAGACACCTGGGCCGGGTGGGTTCTGAGTCCTGGCCGGGCAGTGGGGCCGTCCCACAGGCAGGGAGGGGCCTGGGGAAGAGGCCGGCCGGGCGCCTCGGGGCTCAGGGTCTCCCCCCCCCCCCCCCCCCGCAGAAAATCATGCACACGCGGAAGCGGCACCAGGACATGTTCCAGGACCTGAGCCGGAGGCTGCAGCACGCGGAGAAGGACAAGGAGGCGCTGGCCCCCGAGAGCAAGGTCTGCGGCGGCGCGGCCCTGGGGGGGCCACAGGGGGGCAGGGGTGGGGCCGTGGGCGTGGGGCAGGGCGGCCGAGAGAGCCCGCAGGTAAGCCTGCCTTCTCCCGCCTTCCTCTGACCCCACGTCATTCAGTTGTTCATTCGTCCAACCTTCCCTGGGGGGCCCGGCCCAGCCCGTCTGCCCCTGGAGGGGCTGGGGGCGTCTGGCAGGGGGAGCTGCCTCTCCGAGGCGGGGACAGCCACGCGGGGTGCTGAGCAGGCAGGGGCCTCCCGTGCCCTTCCCTGCAGGCCGCCCCAGACTGACCCCGGAGAGGGCCGCAGCCCTGTGCATTCTGGGAAAGGCTGGGCCTCCCACCCGGTCTGTACCTCCCTGGTCGGTCCTCGCTGTTCTGACTCCTGTCTGCACCCTCCTCTCCCTCTCCCGCTGGCCCGCCCTCCCTGCCCCGGCCCGCAGCCAGAGAAGCAGCAGACGCCCAACAAGCGGCCCTGGGAGAGCCTGCGCAAGGCCCACGGGCCGCCCGCGTGGGTGAAGGAGCTGGAGCCGCTGCCGCCGTCGCCGCTGGAGCTGCGGAGCGTGGAGTGGGAGAAGTCGGGCGCCACCATCCCGCTGGTGGGCCAGGACATCATCGACCTGCAGACCGAGGTCTGAGCGGGCGGGCGGTGGCCACACACCGGACGGAGGAGGGATGCTGCTGGCCCGCCGCTGCCGCTGCCGCAGGACGGGCACAGACGCTCGAGGGCGGCGGGCCAGGCCCGCGCCCGGCTCAGGGCACTCGGACGGCGGCCGCGGAGGCCCGCAGTGCTGGGACCAGAGCCAGCGGGACAGGAGGCGGCGACCCCCGTGGCACAGGGCGCCCGAGGCCAGAAGGTGCCTCTGCCCTCCTCGGACCCAGCCCCGGCGGGCGGACAGGCGGCCGGGACAATGCCGGGCTGGGTGCGGCCGGCACCGGATGCTCACTGAGCTGCTGGCCGCGGCCTGGCACCGTTTTTTAGACGCCCCCATCCCTGGGAAGCAGCCAGCCACCCGCCCCGCCCGCCGGCCTCAGGCGGCGCGCACAGCCCTCCTGCCCCCAGTGCAGGACCAGGGCCCTCAGACGAAGCAGGGGCGGGGAATCTATTTTTTCTCTCCTTTTCTTTTCTTCAATAAAAAGAATTAAAAACCCACGCCCTCTCTGTGGCCTTCCTCGGGCCCCTCAGGCTGGGGCTGGGCTCCGCGGACCAGCCTGGGTCCCTGCTCCCGGCAGAGAGGCTGGGCGGCCTGGTTGGCATCTCAGCTTCAGCTGCCCAGCACCCTGCTTGGGTGTCAGGACAACACCCCCCCGCCCGCGGGCCATGGCCCCAGGACAACACCCCCCCCGCGGGCCATGGCCCCAGGACAACACCACCCCCCCCCGCGGGCCATGGCCCCAGGAAACCCCCCCCCCCCCGCGGGCCATGGCCCCAGGACAACACCCCCCCCCCGCGGGCCATGGCCCCAGGACAACACCACCCCCCCGCCGCGGGCCATGGCCCCAGGACAACACCACCCCCCCCCCGCGGGCCATGGCCCCAGGACAACACCCCCCCCCGCGGGCCATGGCCCCAGGACAACACCCCCCCCGCGGGCCATGGCCCCAGGACAGCACCCCCCCCCGCGGGCCATGGCCCCAGGACAACACCCCCCCCCGCGGGCCATGGCCCCAGGACAGCACCCCTCCCCCGAGGGCCATGGCCCCAGGACAGCACACCCCCCGCGGGCCATGGCCCCCAGGCCTGTGGTCACACGGCTCTGGGCAGCCTCTCGCCTCCCGGGGGCTGTGAGGGAGCCTGGCGGGAGCCTGGGTGCCGGCAGGCCTGACTCCCTGGCCCGGACGCACTGCGGGAGGGACCACCTGAGACGAGAGAGATGCGGAGTGGGGGACATGGGGCGCGGGAGGGAGCCTCAGGGCCCTAGGACCCCACCTCTGGCTGGCCTTGGGGGCCCCCCATCCCCTCCAGAACCCCTGCCCTCTGCGTCCCGGTCCCACCCGCCTCCCCCTCTGTCCAGGGGCAGGGCCAGGGCGGGAGGGGGCCACAGTCTGAGGCTCCAGGACCCGCTGTCACCGAGGCTTGGCCTCCAGGCCTTGGCGGTCCCCACCATCAGAGGCAGGTGTGAGGGGCGAGTGTGAGCTCAGCCGAAGCTGCTCCCCTCGCCTGGTGCGGGGCACATGCCAGGCCCCTTCTGTCCCACCGCCCGCCTCCTCCTCAGCTCACAGCCCGTGACCCCCACCCCCCCAACCCCCCTCACCCCCGTTTCTGAGCAAGAAACGCACACGGGCCCTAAACGGTTTGGCTCAGTGGATAGAGCGTCGGCCTGCGGACTGAGGGGTCCCGGGTTTGATTCCGGTCAAGGGCATGTACCTGGGTTGCGGGCACATCCCCGGTGCGGGACGCGCAGGAGGCAGCTGATCGATGTTTCTCTCTCATTGATGTCTCTAACTCTCTATCCCATCCCTTCCTCTCTGTAAAAAATCAATAAAATATATTTTTGAAAAAAAAGAAAGAAAAAAAAGAAGCGCACACGGTCCGCCTCTTCCCCGCGCTCCCAGCAGGGGGCGGCCTGAGCCGCGCAGAGCCCGCGGGGAGAGAGGGTGGGCCAGGCCCCGCCCCCGGCCTGGGGCGGCCAATCCACACCTGCGGTCCAGAGGCCACGGGCTGGGGCCCCGCCCGAATGAGGGGTGCAGGTGGGGAACCCAATGAGGCGAGCTGCGAGGGGGCTGCCTGGCACGGGGTCCCCGGCCCCTGCCCATCACGCGGCCCAAGCCCCGCCCCAGCTCACCGCTCAGCCCCGGGCTCAGCTGGGCCTCCTGCGGGGGTGACAGCAGTGGCCGGGGGTGGCCGCGAGCGACCAACCGGGATGCGCAGGGGCCACGGGGACTGCACGGCTGGGAGGGGCGGCGTGACGGTGAGTGGCCACAGGTGACCCTGCACGAGGACAGGACGCCGGAGGGGGGAGGAGGGGAGGGGAGGAGAGGGGAGGAGGGGAGGGTGGCCGCACAGCCGCTGCGAGAAGCCGGTGCAGAGCGCGGCAGCCCCAGCAGGGGGCGCCCGGGAACAGAAGCGCAGCAGCTGGTGGGGTTTGGTAGCCGCCTGACCCGCTGAGCTCCCGGAGGTTCGGTTCGTCTGACCCACTTGTGACCTGTGCGCGTCTCTGCGTCGGTCCTGGGACGCTCCATCCCACACCCGCTGTTCCAGCTCCAGCCGGGTCCGAACAGGGCAGAGGCCAGTGCTGCGTCCTCGCCCTCGGCCCTTAGAGAGGGAATCTGGAGGGCGCCCAGGACAGGGGGCCCTGGAGGCAGCGCTGAGCTCTGGGTCAGCATCTGGGAGGCTGGGCTTCTGCAGGTGTGACCAGGGTCAGGGCTCAGGGTGTGACCAGGGTCAGGGCTCAGGGGGTGACCAGGGTCAGGGCTCAGAGTGTGACCAGGGTCAGGGATCAGGGTGTGACCAGGGTCAGAGCTCAGGGTGTGACCACGGTCAGGGTTCAGTGTGACCAATTACCCCTCCATCCTTGGTCCTCCCTCCACGAGGCTCTGTCTTCCCGGCAAGGCCACGTCCTGTGTCCAGCCTGGGCCCTCGCTCACAGCTGTTCCTGCTCCATGGCCGCCCCACAGTGACTGGTCACAGAGCCTGCTGTCCCTCCTGCCTCCTCGCAGGCAGCCTGCCAGCCATGTTCCCAGAAGCTCTGCCACCCGCCAGCCCTGCTGGGCCTGGCCTCGTCACCTTCCCGGTGAGCCTGTCGTGGGTGCTGTGGCCAGAGGCCTGAGGTGCCGAGGCAGGGCGGGCGCTCTGCGGTTTGCCTGTGTTTGCAGGGGTCCTGATGCCGCCCACAGTCCAGGAGATTCAGGGCCAGGTGATGCCGCCAGTGGCCCCAGGTGGTGAGTCTGAGCCCAGCGTCCTGGTTCCATTCCTCAGAGGGCAGGTGACCCGAGGGCAGCTATGGCCTCCCCATCTGCCATTCCCTCCACCAGACCTGGCCAGGCCCCCAGAGAGATCTTGGCTTTTTCGTACAAGTCACAGGTTGCCACCCACCACTGCAGCTAAGATCACCTCCTCCTCCACTTTCACCTGCATCAGCCACCAACACGCCCTGTGAGAGGTGGGAGCGAGGCAGGCGGGGTCACCATGCTGGGAAGACAGTTGTACAGCAAAGGTGGTAGCGACAGCTTTGTGGTGGAGCTAGAGCTGGAGCTGCAGAGCCTGGTGGTGGTGATGGTGGTGGTGGTGGTGGTGGTGGTGGTGGTGGTGGTGCTGATGGTGGTGGTGGTGGTGGTGATGGTGGTGGTGGTGGTTGGTGGTGGTGGTGGTGGTGGTGGTGGTGGTGGTGGTGGTGGTGATGGTGGTGGTGGTGGTGGAGGTGGTGGTGGTGGTGGTGGTGGTGATGGTGATGGTGGTGGTGGTGGTGGTGGTGGTGGTGGTGATGGTGGTGGTGGTGGTGGTGATGGTGGTGGTGGTGGTGGTGATGGTGGTGGTGATGGTGGTGGTGGTGGTGGTGATGGTGATGGTGATGATGGTGGTGGTGATGGTGGTGGTAATAGAGCTGCAGATGGTGGTGATAGTGGTGGGAGTGACTTTGGTGGTGGTGACGCCCACAATGGCAGCCACACAACCTGCATTGCTGATGGTGGGGCTTCTGGGTGAAAATGGGGACTCACCGGGCCACCCTGTCCCTCACTCCCACAGCCTGGGAGCGTCTGGAGGAGGATGGTGACTCGCAGACGGAGGAAGGAAAAGCACAGGGAGGGTGACTGGCATCTCTGAGTCACGGGAGGGGGTGGAGCTGACGGGACCTGCATTTCCTCAGCCCCCACGGTGCCGAGATGTGCCGGCAGCCTGTCCTCACCTGACCCATCGGCTCATTCCCCTTCCTGTCACCAGCGCGCACGGTGCCAGGAGGAGGGGTGCCCCGGGTGCCCCGGAGTCCCGGGCCCTGTGGGAGCGGCCCTGCCTCAGGGCAGGCAGAGGCTCTTCCTGGGGAAGCCTTCGCACCACCCTCCGACCCCCCTTCCTGGGCCCCCAGCCGCCAACACGGCTGCTGCCAGGAAGTCCCTCCTGCGGTCCCCCTCCTGCTGCGTGGGAGGCTCCTGCCCTCGGCCGGCTGTTCTCCGTCTGTGTCCTCGCATCCCAAGAACCCGTCTGGGCGCCACCGGGGCTGCTCCGTGCCACTCAGTGGCCCCCCAACCTCTGCCGGCTCCCCCTGGACCCACTCAAGATGATGGGCAGACCCTCCAGACTCCCAGGTCCCCAGGCCCTGCTTCCCACAGGGGCTTGTCCCCAGAGAGGAGCCATTCCACCATGTTCCAGAACCTTCCCTGGCTGGGAGTGCCCTCCCCAGATGAGCTCCACCCGCCCCAGCTCACGGTGACCTCCTGAAACCAGCGTGTGCCTGGGGCAGGTGGGCCTGGCGGCAGCACCTCCCTGCGGCTCCTGAGTGGCGGCAGCTGATGTCCCCCAAGAAGCCCAGAAACGGCCACCACCCTCCGGGCCACCCTCCCGCCTGGGAGCAGCCCTTTCTGCCCGTTTCAGGTCTGGGTCCCCAGCCCGTGGCCCCTGGTGTCCTGGCTGGAGGCACGATTCTGAGGAGGCCCCGCTCCCAGGCGCCCGGGAGGTGCCCCCCAGACCTGGAGCTCAGGGGTGCAGGCCTCCACCAAATTCCCACTCACTCTCCCTGCCAGTGGCCCAGGCAGGACTCGGACCCCCTACGCCGTGGATCATGGGAGTGTTTCTGGCCCCTGTGGGACCCCGGTACGCGGCACTACCGTGCTGCCCCCAGCCCTGGCCGGTCTGCTCAGAGCGGCTGCAGCGAGGCCCACAGGGGCGAGACCGCACCGGGCAAGCTCAGCGTGGCCTCTGAGCCTACATGTGGCAGCAGGACTGGCTGGAGGCAGGAGCCCTGGACCTGGGCCCGCCCTCCCCTCTGGCCTCAGTTTCCCTCTGTGAGAGCAGGGCCAGCGGCTGACTCAGCACGTCTCCAGGCGTGGGGAGCAGCGGGGTTTTCTTTCGGGTCCTAAAATAACCCCAGGGAGGCCCGGCCCCACGCAGGCGGAACCAGCTCCAACGAAGGCCTGAGAGCGGAAGCGAGGGCTCCGGCTGTGAGCGGGGGTAGGGGGGCCTTCCTTCCAGGCGGGCCTGGCCGGTGCTGCACCCTC